GTTGAGGGCTGAGGCTGGAGCTGGACTACGCAGGGGTTTACCCGGTGTCAAGGTGGCCTTTACTCAGACTGCCTGACATCATTGAAGGCGCCCGTTCGGTGCAAATTGAAAGGCGAGAGGCTGTCGGTTCATCGCCCTCGTTCCGGGATGCACCGGTTCAGCCGCACGGGGCATTTTTGGGGGCTACGGGTTGTTCAGCTTCTGGAGCCCCTCACCACCACCCTGCAGGTCGGCCCTACGTAGCCCTATCTTTGTTCATTCTACAAAGGACCATTCTATACTGCATCCAAGGTACAAACCGAGAATCGCCAGAGCCGACCCCTCCTGAGCCAACCCCAGAGGGGCATGTCGCTGTGTCCCCTCGTCCGCTTCCGGATCCCGCCGTTCTTCTCCCCCAGTGAATATTCTTCCTCTTCTGGATTTCTTTTGTCGGATTCCGGAGCTGCTGTTACTATTACTGCTGCTCTTGCGCCATAGCGCGCTCACTCCTATTGACTCAGCTCTCTGCTCCCTTAGCAGTTATCACCGTCTCTGTGGCGCAATCGGTTAGCGCGTTCGGCTGTTAACCGAAAGGTTGGTGGTTCGAGCCCACCCAGGGACGCTAGGTGTTTTGTTTCTTAAAATCACAACCGCTCAAAAAACAAATTCTGTGCTGACTTGCCGGAGGCGAGAGTTTGTCTATAAACCCAGGGGGTGATAGTATTTGGAAATTCGTTATTGTCAATGACGGGATTTCTCCCGCCGCCTCTCCCACTCTTGCTCCTAAACTGGATTGCAGGAAAGCCAGTGACCGAGGTTTTTGTCTCATAGCCATGTTTGACAATGCATTTTCCACGGATTCAGAATGAATTAGCAGTGAAGGTGTGACAGCTTTCCATTATCTGTTTCGATGGATGACATAAACTTGAAATAGTACATCTGTATGAGAAGAAAGTAAAGAAAGAGGAAAGACTCGGGGAACAGCACGGGCAAAGTGAAGGATAAAAGAGAAACAGGTGACAGAAAGAAAGAGCTGTGATCTGCAAAGAAAGACACACAAAGAAGGGACCTAACAGAGAAATAGGCAAGGGGATTGGGGGAAGATCCCAAGGATGGGGAAAGAAAAGGAGAAATATTTAACAAAAATATCAGAAAAAGAGCCAGGTGTGGTGGCACATACCTTTAATCCCAGCACTTGGGAGGCAGAGGCAGGCGGATCTTTGTGAGTTCGAGGCCAGCCTGGTCTACATAGCAAGTTCCAGGATGAGCTGTATCCCTAGCCCCTATAGCGTTTAAAAAAAACAAAAAAAAAAAAAAAAAATCAGGAAAAGGAGAAGAGAACAGAACACTAGAAGACAGAACAGACTGGCACAGGGTGCTGGAAGGAATAAAGGAGTAAAGGACACTGAGGTAAAGCTACACATGAAAGCACAGCGGGAGCGGCCCTCTCCCACCATCATTACCATCTTAAAGGGATCAAATGCTTGCACTAGCTCTAGTATGTACTGGAACCAATCACTGCCTTGATGTCTAGGCCTCGTTCCTGACCTCTAGGAACCTCTAATTCATGACTGATAGTGACAGTGATGTCCCCAGACTAGCTGTCAGCAAGTGATATATAGAGAGATATAGATACCATGAGGGCAGTGTCTGCAGAGGCACATTGGGCAGGAGCCTCTACCTTCCTGGAGGACAATGTACAACGGACTCAGTTCTTGAGACATTTGGGTCAAAGGAAGTCTCTTCTGATGCCCACCCCCATGTTCCCACACCCAGGTGCACAAGCTTGGAGGGACACTTGGTGCTTCAGTGTGTGTGTCCTTCCAGACTTGCCCTCACTGGCCCTGCTCTACCAAAGTCCAGTGCAGTATTTGACATTGACACTTGTAGTATTTGACATTGACCAGATGCTTTTAGGTCGTTAATAAAGACTGCTAGACAAGAGAACTTCAGATGTGGGACTGGCTGAGTCAGAGAGTCTCCTGAGGAGAAATGATTCTCTGGTGTTTCCGTGGGTAGTAGTGGGTCTTCAGCATGCTCCTGCTCTCCAGCGGTTTGCTCAGGATCTGCACTTATTATGTTGTGCTGTGCCTGGGCAGTTCTCCAGAATGAATGGGTGGACAGAGGAAAGACATAGCAGAGACTGGGGTTCCCTATTGATACCGCGACACACTGGCCTGGATGACAAATGGGCGTGTCTACGTCAACACACACCCCACCCCACCCCCGCTTTCCACAGTGCCCCTGTGAGTTCTCAGTAACTGGTGTAGGGGTTGGGGAGCAGGTGACTGTTACCAGCCTTTCCCGCCTGGTGTTGGACCACCCTGTCTGGGCGGAAAATTTCCGCCCTTCCTCACCATCCGGGCTGGTGCGGGCTTTCAGCGAGGGCGGGGGGGGGGGGGGGGGGGGTCAAGTGGACGACTAGGTCCGCAGGGCTCATGGTAGCCCGCTAGTGGGTGAAAGCATTTTTAGTCCGAGGCCCCCAACTTCGGGGCTGCTTTGGCTTGAGGCAAGGAGAGAAGGAGGCGGGCGATCCGAAGGTCGGCGAGGATTCGTTTCCTACTCGAGCCAACCCACGGTCCAGGCGCTTAATGGCGTTTCTGGCCGGAAAATCCAGCACTTTGGAGGGACAGTCGTAAGGACCAGCCCAATAATTAATGAATAACGAATAAGCGAATCGACCGTCCAAGAGGCCCACGGTCGTCTCCGTAATGCAGAATCGATCTGCTTCCTCGGCGCCGGCTTCCACTCCTCCGGGCTTTTCCAAACCCTCCTTCCTCCTCTGCCCCGGGCCAGGGCCACTGGGGACCGGAGCGCGAGCGCTGGGTGGAACCCGGAGCGGTCACCGGAGTCCAGGCGGAGAGGGAAGCGGGCCTCGCGGAGCGCAGCGCAAACTGCGGGAACAGTGAGGCTCGGGGAGCGCGCGACCACTCTGGAGTCCGCCTCTCCCACTCCGTTCTGGCCTCTCGAATTCCGAGGCTTATTGTGTCTCTGGCCCGGCGCCTGAGAGTTCGTGTCTCGGGCTGGTCTCCCCGCCTGGATTGCGTTCCATTCTTCTCTGCCCGCCGGAACACGCCGAGTGCGCCAGCCTGGGTCACAGCCCAGGGAGACCGGCCGGGAGAGCTCCGCGAGGTGCTGCGTCTCCGAGCCGGAGGGGGTGGGGGCACGCTCTGGGTCACACATGCACTTTGTCATTTTAAGGGAGTGCCAGCTGGAGTGAATGAAAATCTCTCGGACGCGTGGCTGGCACCGCGGGTCCCCCTCCCGAGCGCCCTTTGGTGGCGGCCGAGGCATGGAGGCTGCTAGCCACATTTCCGCCCAGTTCTCACCATTTTCCAGGCGCCCCAGCTAGGGTGGGGATCGCAGGGTCAGTGGGGGTTGGGGGACATAAAGATTTTTAGGAGGTGGAGAAGGCTCATTGCGGAAGGTAACAGAACAGGGTCTGCCCTCCAGGTCCATGGGATTTGTTTGGGAAAGATGGGGTTCTGGTTTGGGTGGGAGTCTCCAGGACGGGCGGTGGGGAGCAGTCGCGCTAGCCTCTCCCCCTCCTCTTTTCCTCTGCAAACACCCTGAAGGAATGAGGTCACGTGGGTGAGTAGTGGGCGGGACCTACTCTTGTCTGGAGGAAAAAAGCCATTTTGTCCCCCCCCCCGCCCCTCCCCACTCTCCCTCCC